AAGCACTGACAATGTACATTCACTGTCCAAGAGATGGGCAAAGTGGTGTAAAGAATGAACACCAAATGGGGTGCACGGGTGGGCACCAATACGGTGTGCCAGTCAAGCACCAGAACACCGGTGCGATGTTGGTATACATTAATGAACTATAAATATATTAAACTGTAATGTGAAGGCACTGTAAAATTAGCATTTTATTAGTGAAGGCAGCTCACCCATGTAGTGGAGAATCCTATATTCCAGAATAACGATGAGAGCAAGAGGGTTCACCAATGGACAGTTAGGGAATGCTGTTAGACGAAGTGGTACTGGGGAACAGATGCAGACAGCCCTGCCTCCATTCCCACTGAAGGCTAGGCTTGTGGTCATATAGCCCCTAAAAGCCCTTAGTAGCAAGGCAGAGAGGCTAAATTAAATGCCAGGCCGATATACAAGGTGCGGCTCCAATAAATGGCAACCACACTTGTATATTGGCACTCAGGGCTCCAACAAAATAGCCACACCATCAGTATACAGACCTTGCGACTTCAACAAAATGGTTGCTGTGAGCGGTCTACTGCGAGTTGTGTTTACGATGGCCCAGAAGGGGGAGAGCACAATAAATCAATAAAAATGGGCAGCAAAGCAGCAACAAAGAGCATTGCCAAACCGCCTGGCACACAGAACCTCAAAGTGCCACTGAAGTGCTGTGGAGGGTGTGTGGGGGGAAGAGGGGGGCAGGTGTAATTTATAAAGCAATGAAACCTAATGGGGTGAGTAATATCCAAAACATGGAAAAACGAGGGATGTAGCCGCATTCAGAATATGGTCCATTCAGAACATATAAAAGGCGCACTTTAAATCCATACAACCTAAAGTGAATTGAACCACAAACAAGAAAAGTAACTCAATTTAAACTTCATTCAAATAGTACGAATATAAAAATGACAGAGTGAGGAGACAAGGATACTCTGACATGTTAGCTAGTTTGGAGCAGCAAAGACAGAGGAGTTCCTTTCTGTGAAGAGGCATTTTGTACCCTGTTTATTTCTTGTTTCGTATTGGTTAATGTTTATTTGATTTTGCTGCTATGGAGATGCAGTAAAGAATGTTAAAGCAAATACAAAGCCTGCTGTCATGTTGTCAAATTAGCATTAAAAACTGCACTATATTGCCACCTTTTAATCATATTTAAAAACACGTTTTTTTTTTTGTTTTTTTTTTGAGAGAGAGTGGAGTGGTTGGGGGGTGAGTTAAGAATTCTCTGACTTCAAGTGCTCTTGATATAAATTTGGGCCTATACCTTCTGAGAGAAGCGAACAATATTTTTACCAATGCCCAACCCTTTTCACCACTATCTTGTAGTTTCGGTATGTCCTTAGCTGCTGGAATGATAGAACACAGGCATTTTCTATCATTCTGATGATGTACTTATTTTAGATCATGCTGGAAAAAGCCTCTTCTCAAGTGATGGGAAATGCAAGATGTTGCAGATCTAAGCTGTCTGAATTACAGCTGCTTTGACACAATTTAAACAAATATCTCCTAAATAAGTTACATTTTTAACAGCTTTGTCTTATTATAACATTTAATTGGGCTACTAAACTATTTAAATAAAATACCCTTTATTTCCTTTGATGGGAGTTTTTTTCCTCCAACTGACTTAGCATTTTGATTAATTTTATTTGCTCTGTAGATTCACACAAAAATAGTGCCTCACAAAAGGTTTCCAACCCTTGGACATTTCCACATTTGGTAATATCACAAAATCTGAAATCAAGATTTTATTGAGATTTTGAAACATTTGAGCTACATAATCAGCTTAGTGATTTAAAACCACTTCAGTGATTTGAAGAGGGCATGGTGGTAGGACTATGAATGTGACATACAGAGTTATTAGTAATTGTGTGATGGGTTCTAGTTGCACCCCAAGCACATATGACCTAATGTAAATTCTGTGCTGCATGCGGACAACAGACGGTAAAATCTCCCCCCTGCAGGCAGAGCGCCAGTGATATCAGCCAGTGACATGAACCACACAGCCCGAGTGACATCAGGAGGGGGAGCTTTACTCGGCGCTGTGTTCAAGGTAAGTAAAAACCTTTTTAAAGTTTTATTGGAATTAGGCCTCCTCCATAGTGCCCAAAAGAGTATTTTACACAAAAAGCCCCCCCTCTCCCGCTCCAAAGGATTAAAGAACCCTTTAAAGGTACAAAATATTTTAAAGATATGTATTAACTGCCCTATATTAGTTGTCCTTTCCATACAATTCAATAAAGCTGTATTTGAAGAGTCTAACTTTAAGTGAAATATGAACTTTGACCAAAAATGTACCTGGGAAGATCTGGGAATTAACCGTTTTTCGTTACCTATTAGACGTTAATGTAGCATAAATCAAGCACAACAAAGGAATGAATGCACTATGTTAAAGACCACCAATTAGGCATCAAAATCAAAGTCCGAGGTCCTGTGAGACAGAGGTATCTTGTACTTTATTTATTTTTGCTTTCCTTTGATGCCCAGATAGGCAACTAACAGAGGACTGCAGTCAGCAAACAGCGATGTAGGTCTCAGATGTCAGTCACAAGAGAACAGGTGATAATATTCTCTCAATTGGCATTGGTCAAAGACTGCAATATTTAAATATCTGTGACATAGTGTGAGAGAAAAACTGCTGTCTCTTTGTACAGACTAAAAGCATTATCAAAATCGACATTTGAGGATTTTTCACTAAATTGTCAGTTGCAGAGTTCACTTTCATTTATAGACCATACTTCTCAAAGAAACCCTAAAGTCACCCAGACCGTTTCATCTCAATGAAGTGGTCCAGGGGCAGTGATAGTCCAGAGAAAATTATTTTTTTTTAGGAGTATAGTCACCATTTAATCTGTATGAAGTCACTAATGATTAAATAATAATTTATTTATTTTTTGTCAATCTGTTTTTATTGAAGGCATATAAGATGGGGTACATAAGAGAAAGCAGGGGAAATGTACGAGTGGTTTACAATATAAGGTTGATACATCATTCGGCAAGAGTACGTTTCTTTTCCAGAATAACGATACCTCATTTTTTTTTGTGCCAATTTGACAATTTTTATTTTTTGAGTGTGCGTGGGGTACAGAAGAGAAAAGGGATAGGGTTGTAGCATCATCACCATCATACAGTTCCCATCAGTAAAGTACGTTGTTATACATGCTTAAACAACAATAAACATCCTTATTTATCAATAAACATCATTATTATTCGCCTCCGAACAAGATTTGTGGCAGGTATTGCTATCTGTCTATTGAGGTGTGCGTGGTTTGGTCTATCCTTCTGCCTCAATTGTCTATGCGGCCTCTTGCTCTGGGACTTCTTTGTTCTTAGTGCTCCTAAAAGCACAGCCTGGTGTGTGCAGTAAGGTTGCTACTAGGGTGAGGTGGTTAGATGGGGGGGGGGAAGAAAGGGGAGGGTTTGTTACTTTCCTCATCTTGCCCCAGAGGCTTTCCCTGGTGAGCCTCGTTAGCCCTTAGGCTCCCTTGGTTCATTTGTGTCACCTGTTGCGTGTTATTAGTGCTTCATCATGCTGTCTGGCGGCTAGTGAGTGTTCTAGCTGACTCCTTTTGTTAACGATACCTCATTTTTTAAGTTTAAACTGTAGTATGAAAATACAAGGTATGGATCATAAGATCCGGTATGTAACATGCTAAATTAACAATGCGTTAACTAGTCTTAACATTCCAACAGTATAATACAGTGTAGGTTAAACTATGAGTCCGCTGGTCTGCAGTTGCTAGTCGCAAGGTGTATATAGGTTTAAGCTAACTGTGCTTAAACTGCGTGTTGTAATACAAGATGAGAGCAAGCAGTTATAATATGTGAACACATTTAATGCGCTTGTAGTTGCTAACTAAGTAAGGGGTCAATCATGTCATTGGCAGTTTAAGCTTGCAGCAAAACAGGTTGAGCGTTTATAGTAACGTAACGAGAGGCTAGCCTGTCCCTGTGTTATAATGATGAACCCTGTTCAGATCTATGCACGCATACTCAAACAGGTTAAACATAACTGTAGAGCACTGTAGTGGGGGATTGCTTAAACTGCACTTAGCTTAATACATGTGTGAGGGATGCGACAGGTGAAGCATTTAGTGGTTTAGTACTGCTGGACCCCCTGGTGAGTTGCATGAGTGTCTAGTAAGCAATGTCCTGGTGTGAACTGCAAGTGGAGTCATTTATCTAGTTGGGAAACACGCTGGATGATCCACCAACCTCACGGGGCCAGTCTGGTGTACTCTGTGCAAGAGGATGGTATAGGTGACATGGCTACTCGGTGGGGGCTCAAATTAGTGTATCTGTGTGGACAGTTCATGCTGTGCCCCAAAGACTCCACGGCTGTGGGTGGCATGTAGTGGGGCTGCTGGCTTACGGTCCATCTATCAGCCGATACCCCTGCTGGGGAGGTCGGAGCCATGAGTTGGACGGGTCAGCAAGAGGCCGGTGAGCTGTTTGTATAAGGCGGGAGCACTCCAGCCCCAGGCCAGAATGAAGGCCAGCACCTGCAGTCCACAGACTCGGATTCTCGTGGTCGAGGCCGGTTCAACCCTCTGTTGGGCGCCATGGGGAGCTTGGATGTTCTGCCGTTGCCTGCGACGGTCGGGCTTCTGGTGGTGTGGTTGGTGCTGTGGAGGTTTCCTCCGGGAGGCCTTCAGCCCAGGAAGGATTGCAGGGCGGGCTGCAACATTAGCCTTGTGTGGTTTACCCGATGTAGGTCTTTTCAAGCTCCGCACCTCGTCCCTCCTTACTGTTCCCACCTGGTCAGGTGGTTCCCATCTGCAACATAGCTCCAGGAGCTCCCAGAGCCTTTGAAAGAGCCTGTCTAGTCTCTCAGCATACTGCTCCTCTGTGTAGTAGCTTTGGCTGCATTGATAGGCTGGCGCGTGCTTCTGTCACTGAGGTGCGGGCGCCATCTTGTGTGGCCCACTGGCCGCGTTGTTTGGGCTGCGGGGTATAGCCGGGGCTTTTGCCCTTGTTTGGTGGGGACCGGGATGACCCCCGCCAGTCCAAAGGCGGGTAACTGGGACCCATATCGAGGTTGTCGCTTAATATGGCCCCAGTAGAGCGGCCGTCTCCCCTGTGGTCAGTTTGTCTTGGTGCGTGGTAGGCCTCGCTGCTAGGCTCCGGTTTTTGCTGTGGGAGCTGCAAGCTTCGCGTACCGTTAGGTGCCGCTTCAGGTGCTGGTTATCCTCCTCAGTCTGGTAGGCTGTTCCAGGCTCAGTAGGTCGCCAGTAGGGCTCAGATTATGCCCATTGCCACCGGAGCATTTAGCATGTGCGTCCGGCCATCTTGACGGTCAGGCCCCGCCCCCTTAAATAATAATTTTAACAACTCTTTTCAACTGCCCATGACTGGAAAAAAATGTCTCTCCTTCTTAATTTATTTTTCTCTCCTGCTACCATTTGTCTCACTATATATTTTCCTTGTAAAGCTGACATGTAGGGATGACATAGCAAATGTATGAAAAAGTGCTACAGACTAAATTCAGGGCCCGTGCAAGTTTGTCTACAAGTGTGAAGATGCATTTTGCTACTTCCAGCCTCCTCCCCCCCACCCAAAAAATAAATAAATGCATCTTCACCTTTGTGTCACTTAACCCCCGTTTTGAATTTATAACCCCCTTTTGTGTTTCTTATGCTCTCTTTTGATTGTCTTACCCAAGTAGTGTACCTTGTCCCCCTTTTTTGTTGTTGTAAATCTTTCTTTTATTAAGGCAAGTGTTATAGGAGGTACAGAATAAAGAAGGGGAGATGTACGTTATTTATATAAGCTAGGGAGACGATAACACATGTTAACATCTCCTATGAGTGACAGCCTCATTAGTTAAGCATTCCAGAGTATTGATAACAAGCATAACGTAAGAATAGTTAAAGTAGCTAGACAAAAGTAGTGTATAATATCTTTAAACGTGAGTAGCTCCCAAGCGAGTCAGCCACTGTGTCAGGAGGATGCTCATTATTCAAGCTAGGTATAACAAATATCGCAAAATGCTAACGTTTAGGCGCAGGCTTATAAAGAACAATTAACACTATGAGTTTGTAGATTATTTTATCATGCTGGGTAAACCACCTAGCCCCCACCTCACCATTAATGACTCTGGTTATGCCAGTAGAGGCCAAAAGAGCATGCAGGCGTGAATGGTCACCTTATTAGTGATCCCCACGGTGCCGAGCAGAGCACGTTAAACAAGGTGTTGGCACCTCCGGAATATTGGGCGGTAGGTAGCTATTAATTATAGAGATTGGTAATCTGGGTTAGAAGTAGGAGAGGGCATGGTAAATAAAACATTTAACTAGAACCAGACACTTAAACAGTATGTCCATGGTATGTGGATGTGCAGCTGCTGTCGCTATGTGAGCAGTGCTGTCCCGTGGTCATCCGATTCCGGTAGTCGGCAACCTTGATGCTCGTGCCGGGATGCTTGGGAAGCCAGTCGCCATGCCGTCCATGTTGGGCAGTGTGGTGGAGAACTTTCTGGGATCCGCCAGTTCAGCTGTGCAGAGCGGGCGTGTTGAAGCCTCTTCCTAGGTCCGGGCCTTGTAGCAAGTCAGCATCTTCTCCCCACAGACTCGGGAGCTCGATGAGACCGTGTCTTCCCCTCGTCGGGTGCTACGCTGGCTCGGGTGGGCTATCAGCCATAGCGGCAGTTGCCTGGTAGCGTGGAGTGCTCAGAACAGCTCGCCCCGCTGTTCTCCTCACCTTCAGCATATGAGTAGGTGGCGGTGGCGGTTATGACAGGCGCCTGTGCAGGGCCTTCCAGAAACGCTGGAATATCTTGTCCAACCATCGTAGTGCAGTTTCCGTATGGTGGCTTCTCTGTGGCTCCTCCATTTTACTAGGCCTAGTACGTTTTGGGCCAGCATCTTGGTGGGTGGCGTGATGCAGAGTTGCCAGGTGCTTGGGGCTGGTGGGGACCGGGATAACCCCTGCCAGTCCATGGGGGGGGGGGGAAATTCGCACCGGTGTGTGCAACAAGATTCAGCAGTCTGGGAGTGGCCATCTCCCATATGCTCTCCATGCTGGTAGGCTGCAGGAGCTGAGCCGGCGAGGTCGGTGAGTAACCCCACATATGCAGTATCTTTGTGGAGGTCTCTCGGTCCTTTGTCGATTGAGCAGCAGGATGAACCGGTTCTGCGGGTTAGCCAGTGCCGAATTCCAAGGACAAGCTTGTTTTTTCCTGGAGCCGCAGCCAGACTCGTCTGCTCGCTCTGCAGTCAGGCCCAGCCCCCCCCATTGCCCCTTTTGTGTCTTATACTCTCCTTTATTGTATCGTACTCCTATTATTTCCTTTGTGTGTCTTTACCTCCTTGTGCACCTCTTACTCCCCCCTGTGTTTGTCTCTTACTTTCCCCAGCCCCATTGTGTGTATGTTATTTCCAATCAGCCCCTTTGTGTGCCTCTTCTCTCCTAGCCCAATTGTGTGTCTCTTTCTCCCCCAGACTATTTATGTGTCTTTTATTCCTACTAGCTCCTTTGTGTATCTTTATCCCTCCCGGCCTCTGTGCGTGTCTCTTCCCCCCCAGCACTGTGTATATCTTTTTTTTACTGCTCCCAGCATCTTATTCCTTCCTCTCCCAGCCCCTCTGTGTGATTCTTTCTCTTGTCCCAGCCTCTTTTCCACCTAGCCCTTTTGTGCATTTCTTTTCCCCTTCCCCAGCCCTTTTTGCATCTCTTCCTCAAGCCCTTTTTTAAAATTTTTCTTCCCTCATGCTTTCCCCGAATATATTTGTATAATGTTATCATATCCCCTCTGAGGTGCCGTTTTTCCAAACTAAACAGATTTAAATTTTGTAACCTTTCTTCATAACTAAAATGCTCCATTCCTTTTATCAATTTTGTAGCTCGTCTCTGTATCTTTCTTTAGAACAGGTGCCCCCAAAAAATTGAAATTGAAGTCAGGAGCACTGAGTCTCCCTTCACAAGCTGCAGCATGCCACTCTCTACACCCTCTGAACACAGTGCACCTTCACAGTACACTCCCACCAACACATAGTACACCTTTGCATACACATACAGTGCACCCCTCACACACATCATCTCTTTACCCATATACACATTTCTTCCCCACATACCTTCACCCACACATACACACACATACATACATGCTTCAACCCATTACACACCGAAGAAGAGTGCAGTTCTAGGAACAGCTAAAATACTGCGCAGAACCCTCAAACTCCCAGGCCTCTGGTAGAGGACCCGAGAATGAGGAATAAACATACCACCCAGGAGGGGTGATAAAATCAATTTTAATTTTTATATTAACTACAGCTCCTTGTTAAGCACACAATGCAACCTCAATGCACATACACTCACAATGCAGCCCCTAGATGCACACACACACACACACACACTTTACAGACCCTGTCGGCACACACACACAATCTCAAAAGCTCCTTTACTTGAGCTTGTGCTCAAACTACATCCCCCTAGTTACACATAGTACACCATAAACAGACTCCTCTATACACACACTTCATGACAGCCCATTCTAAACACCATGGAAAATAATCTTGCATCTCCTGAAAAGGTTTTCCAGTTTCCGTGAAAAGGCGTCTTGCCTTTAATAAGGAAGGCGTAGCAGTGGAACTACAGGGAGTGCTGGTGCTGCAGTTACACCAGGGCCCATCGAGTGACCTGTGCAACTAGAACCACCCGATGATCGTGTGTCTTCAGGGGCCCAAAATAGTTTTTGTATCAGGGCCCACTCTACGTTAGTTTCGCTACTCTGCAACAGCTTCCACGGCACACAAGCTCTGCCCCTGCATGGAAGATCGCCTCCCTGTACGCAAGTTCCACCCCCAATCTCTGACTGAGACACACACTGACAGACATACACACATTCTGCAAAATACAGGAATATACAGGTACACCAAATCGTGGATAGAACACACACTTAGTGGGTAGCAGATAGGAAAAATCCTAAATACAATTACCCTTGTACTATAAGTACTGTAGATAAAGACTCCTCAAGGTCCTCAATAATACACACATTCTGACAGACATACAGTGACAGGCACACATTGTCTGACTGAGACACACACTGACTGAGACACATACACACACACACACCCACACTTTCTCACAAATTGCTATTATTATCTTAATTTAAATCCACCCAGCCTCCCTACCTTTGGGAGAGCGGAGTGGATCTTTCCCTGGCGTCCAGTGTGTCTCCTCTCAATCTTTCTGCAGTTTTTCTCTGCTCCCCTGCATGCTCTCTGTAGTGATGCCAGGGCCGGAGTGACGTCATGTTACTAAACATCATGCGAGGGAGCAGAGAGGAACTGCAGGAAGGTTACTGCTCCCACGCACGCCGCCACCATGCTCCCCACGGCGGCCGGCTTTAATGTTTGCTGCGCGGCTAAGCAAAGGGTTTACAAATGCCAGGCGCCACAGTGAAATGTCTAGTTGCCATGGCATATACATACACATACACACACACACACACACATATATATACACATTTTATAACTACATCCCTACTTTTGTCCCTGGCCCCTTATGTGCCTCCCCCTAAGTATGAATCCTGAAGACGCCACTGATTGCCTGTACGTCCAACTTGTCAGTTAGTGCACCTATTGTACATCACTACTTTGCTTTATAACTAATAATTATATTTTACCGGCCACCTTGCCTTTGTGTGGCAGGAAAAACATAAAACAACGTTATTTCTGGCAAGCTACAGTATTAACAGTGTAAACATTGCTGCCTTCGTGCCTTCAACAGAGTTTTTTTAAATTGATTCTTTACATAGATCATTAATAATGATAATAATCGTGCACATAGAAGCTTGGAGAATTATACAATAAAACATGTATAAATCTGTTAAATCATGTAGAATGTTTAAAAATAACATAGTTACTTATTCCATTTGGATTATGTTAAAGTATCTGTTATATGCTTTAATGCTACGGATTAAGGAATTGTGTGAGACAATTTGCTTGTGATTTATTGGATGCAAACGACTGGTCGGACCTTCCATGCAGCACACACCCATTCTCAGCTTTAAACAGGTACTCACCAAACTGTGGGATCATGTCTTCATGACCGACTGTTTTATTTCTATTGAGGTCAGCATGTATCCCTTGCCGCCGAGATTTATACTATGTAAGGTTGCCATAAATGCACATCTAAATGTTGCAGCTGTTGCTAAATGCCTTGATCAGGATCCTAACTTTATTAGCTCAGCCAGTGATAGTTACGTCTAGACATGCAGGCTCTGTGCTATTATCCCATATAACAGTAGATTCCAATATTCTGCATTCATTGTAGGATTGGGCATTTGGTAATAAAATATTTGTGAGCTAATGTGTCGTGTTTAATAGTTTCACCTCCCTGAAATATGCTGTTGAATCTCTTTATCCTTTAAGTCAACTAAAAATATGAAGGATGGAATAATCTTTAGTTAATTCTTTTTCTATAAAAGTAGGAAAATTAAATAAACGTATAGTCTACAAATAGCACGAAAGTGTATATTTGATTTCTATACATTGGCTACATAGCAGTGATATTGAGTAGCAGATGTCCTAGGTCACATATCCTCTCCCTAATTACTTTTCCTTTAGCATTTAGAACACGTTCTAGTCAGTGGCGGAAAAAATTTAGAGAGGGGACATTTTGGGGTCCCCTCTAGCGTAAACATGGCTAAAGGGTAAATCTGTTGCACATCTACCACAATGCTTTTCCAGCTGGGGATCTACCTTTGCAGAGCTGTATTTGTCAGCAGTGTTTAAATGTAAACATGTTTCGTGTGTTTGAATGTATGGATGTATTTGTGTGTAGTGTTGGCATTTGAATGTGTTGTGTGTTTGTATGTACTGTTGCTGTTTCAAAGCAGTGGTATACTTGTGTAGAGTTTGATTGCTGCGATGTAAGCACATATGCACATACACTGCCTGGCTTATACACACTGAAACACACACTGATACACACTGACACATACACACACTGACACACAGATGCACACACATTTAGACACACAGACAAACGTACACACACAGATCACAATTAGCATATTTTTCACCACCCCCTGCTTCCATTCCTTTTTGATACATCGATGCTAAGTAACTTGGAGCTGGGAGTAGCTGGGAGGAAATAACTTGAGCTTACTTCCTCCCAGCACCGCGGCATTACATTACACGGTGGCCCGGTCATGCTGCTGAAAGGTCATGGTGCTTGACTAAGCCCCTGATCAAAGATGGCTTAGCCCTAAGTCCATGGCCATTGCTTCTTTCTTAGCTTTGCCTCTCGATTCTCACACAGTGGTTCCTTTTTCTCCAGAGAACGCTGTACAATGTCTCTGACTCTCTCCCTCCACAGCAGTCATGTCCCTTTCTCTTGCTCCCCACTCTTCATACACCTGTCCATCCTTCCTCTTTCCTCATATACAGTGAAGTTTTCCATTTTTGCATAATAATAATTCTTCTTACGTTTACTTCCCTGAATTTCTATGATTGCGTTCTTCCGTCTTCTGTGATTTTTACATTATTTTAATTTTTGTAGAATTATTGAATACATTAGTTGTGTGGGTAGCTGACCAAACTGTAAGTAATAAAACTTGAGGTTGTAAAATATAGAGGGTAAATGTATATTTTCATCCTTTGATTTTTATAATATTTAATTAACACAAGTTTAGACCCTGTGGAGTGACATTGGTGGTTATTACAAGGCATTGCAGACAACTATTGCATCCTGTATAAAAGCTTTGCAATGTGACCAGAGTCTACACTCCCTCCCTGTCTCCCAAAGTGCTAAATGCAGCCCTTTATCTTTGAGTCATACTGTATAGTGGGGAAAGGGGGCAACATTTAAAGTCCTTCTGAATTATGCAGAGAGACTGAGCCAAGTCAGCTATGAAATTCCATTATCTTCTAGATCAAAACAGCTATTATAGCAGAGGGATAGGCAAATGGATCTATATTCAGTAGAACTCAGTTTACATTTCTTTGGACTTGTGTTAAGTTAGATACGTAAAGTGCTAGCAACCATATCTGGAACTGTAACAGTTATTGTGCAACTAGTCCCATGATGCCATCACATGGTAGGAATCCAAACAGTTTTTTGTCATCTTGTACTTACTTGGCTCCCCTAGTTGCCTTGTAGGAACCCAGGCATTTAACTATTTGACTGCTTAGCGTAAGAGGGCGCCAATGGGCACCTGACAACAACAACTACAATTACAGTGCTTACCTGGTACTTAGACTGCCCCTTTAAGATTTTTTTATTTATTTTTTTACTTACTGCATGTCTACAGCAATAAAATTATATAAGTCAGCAGTGTTTTTGTATTTTCGTGTAGCATTCAACCATTTGCCAATGGAGTTAATGCATTAAATGTATAAATCCTGGATATTAAATTGTTGGATTGTAACTGCAATGTGTATAAATAATTTGTTTCAGATTCCAAGCTGATGTGATGTGATGTGATGATTATTCCGCATGGCGGCTGAGGAATTATATGGCTGTATCCATGTAATGTATATACCCACGGTCTGGCAAATCCACCTGATATTTTTATATGGTGTGAACTTCACACCCAGCACACAGAAATTAGTAACCTTTCCCTCTATAACGTATGCAAAACATGATACGCCACATATTCATAGTGGTTTTATGAGCTAGATGTATCGAAAAGTTCAAATTCACTTTCCGATATTATATATAAATCCTGTCCACAAAATAACAAAGTGATTATATCATACGGATTTAATAGAGGCTGATGATGTTGAAATTTTTAATCACAGCAAAGTTACTCAAAAATTTACTAACTGGAATCACATTACTTTGGCCCCAATTAGTTAATGTTTGGGAACTGAATGTAAATGTTCCAATTTAATGGACTGAAAAAAAAACCCTTTTTGTAGTGTAAATGTATATAGTCTCACTAGGCTGGTGTTGCTGTGGAACACAGCACAATGCTCTCCTTTTCCCTGTGGCTCTGAACGTGAAATTAATTAAAGGTACTAACACTATAATGTGCCTGCCTACAGTTTTATTTAGGTACCTCTTTTTTATCCAATAAAAATTAATTAAGTAAAATTTCCAGCTTCTCACCTCTCCACCTCCCTCAACGTCATCGAATAGGCATGGCTTCCTCAATTATTATTATTATTATTGCCATTTATATAGCGCCAACAGATTCCGTAGCGCTTTACAATATTATACGAGAGGGGGATTTAGCTATAAATAGGACAATTACAAGAAAACTTACAGGAACGATAGGTTGAAGAGGACCCTGCTCAAACGAGCTTACAGTCTATAGGAGGTGGGGTATAAAACACATTAGGACAGGGAATAGCAATCAAATAAGGTGGGAGTGAAGCAGAGCTGGAGGAGAGAGTAGAGTGCTGCCCTTTAGGAGAGAGCAAGAGACAGGTATGTGAGGTAGAGGTTAGTATGGGAGGCCATAAGCTTTCCTAAAGAGATTAGTTTTAAGGCACTTATTAAAGGATTGAAGACTAGGGGAGAGTCTGATGGTGGTAGGCAGGAAGGGAGTGTACGGGTGCGAGCAGCGGACAGGAGACC